AAAAAAATGGTTTAAAAGCTTCAGAATGTGACGGTAGAAAACTAGAGTCATTTTTCTGAGAGGACACATTTTTTCCATTTAGAGCACACTTCTCGTATTTCGTGATTTTCACCCACAAAGAAAGGTCATAAAGGAGAAAAAGTGTGATATTCAGATTCAGCTCGTTATTCTCTATCAGAAAATGTCTGATAAAGTCAAAAAAAAGATAGTGCTTAAACTTTGAATTAGCCGCGCCTTATATCGATGTTACACTAAAGAATATTGTCGACACACTTTAAACACAAAGAAATTAGCCATTATTTCTCAAACGTACTTTCATTCTTTCTTACCTAGTTTCGAAAATTCACATCACATTCTTTTCTTTGCATAGCTAACCTATTTGTTTTGAAGTACCATTTCTTTCGTTTGTAAAGACACCCATACCATGTACTTGATTAGTATTAGTCAAGGTTACTTGGATAATACCAATTAAAAGAGATTATATCAGTGCAAGGCCATGGCAAAACGGGCAGCGATGATAATTTCTGATCAAAATCTGATCGGAAAAGCTCTTGGTTTAAGGGAGTAACTGGAGTTTTACTGAAAGCGCCAATATACCCCTACACCAAAATTTTAAAAAAATAATGAAAAAATGCGTGACAACCGGCAGAAAAATGATTATTTCTTCATGGGCTTTGAAGTGAAAAATTGTGAAGTGTAGCTGAAAGATAGAGCGAAGTCAGGGCTACATAACAACCGATATCAGGTTTTCTTACTTTCAAAACGTTAACCCTAGTTATCGGTTCTTAGATAAGAATCAGATACGAAACTTGTAACAAGCATGTAAGAATCTTCCGAGCATCGTATAAGAATCTTTTTTCGTCTTTCATATAACTGGCATAGTTTTTTTGATTGAAGATCTGAACTTAAAGTTTAAGTATGGTTTTGTATAGTATTTCGCGGCGCATCTTTTAAAAATAACGCTAACCTAAGGATCCTAAAGAGACACGACAAAAATAGAAAATACTAAGTGGATCGTTCTTTATGCCGGACCCGTTAGGCACCCAATTTTAAAGATCCAATATCGCATTGAACTCTTTAGAAAATACAAATATTCTTAAGCTACGAGAAAAAAAGATGGTGAATGAGCTACTAATCAATAGAAATTTTTCACTAAGTGTTTGTCTTTTACTTATTACCCGTTAAAATTAAATATTGTATTTAATTAGAACTAAGTATAGGTTTGTAAAAGTTTGTTGGAGAAAAATTCACAAAAAGTAAAAAGGTAAACAGTCAGTAAAACAAATGTTAGTTTTCAGAGTAATTCAGCTGAAAGTTTTTCTAAATTAGAAAAATAAACTTCTGAAAGTGATCTATTTGAGTGAGTAGAAATTACAGGCATCTCACTGCTGAGAAGTACATTATAAACATTAACAACAACAATTTGAACAGTGAAAATGGAATGAAGAACCATCTTATGTATATGAGCGGGTATAAGACAAAGCTTTACCTGATTAAACTAAAATATTGCTGAATACTAATGATGCATCAACATTAGACAGGTTGTCATCAGGTAAAGATTTTTTGCTACCGCGTCGATATTTCTGAGAAAAAAACTATTCTAGATGTACTCTCCGGCAAAAATGCTTCCGAGTGCTTTTTTTTAGTAGTATTCTGGCAAGTCAGCTTTGCGCGATCAAGTCTGTCTCAGTTCTAATTGTTGCAGCTTGTGCCCCACGTAAAATGGTGTCTATGATGAACGCTTCTTAGATGTTTTTGACTTAACAAACGCTTTTTCTGTTCCAACTACAGTCAAAAATACTTTTATTGATAATATTTTCTTTTTGACATCTCTTCATCTTCGAATAGTTCGACTTCCAGTGCGCTAGGTAAATGACCTCATTACGTTCTTTCGTGCTCGTTTCTATACTCAAGTTTCCGTAAGTTCTACTCGTCAAGTTTATGACTTTGTCAATGTTGACATGTCAAATCTTTCACGGAAGCTGTTTTCTATTAGCCCAGATTGCTTTCATTCTAAAGATTCAAATGTTGCTTTACAACTTTGGTTAGATCATATCATTTCAGTCATAGAGGAATGTGTCCCGACTAAGAACATACCACTTGTTAAAAAACGCTCGTTTCGACTTTCTCGTCAAAGGCATTTCCTAAATCGCAAAAAAGAATCTATGTTTCAAAAATCAAAAAGTAAACATCTCCACGTTCCATCTTTATAAAATTTACGAGCAATTCCGTAATCTTTCGATGCAATATTTTCGTAAACATAAAAATAATTTCTTTCAGTCTACAACTCCCTCACCACCATTGGAACAGCATCGAACAACCGCTACAAACTGTAAAAGATCTGTTTTTCGAGAATTTCTAGCTGCAGCCGGTACAACAACTTCACAAAATTCGAGAAAGCCTACAGCATTATCATCAATAGATAATGAATTGCAAATATATCGTTCAATAGCAATGTGGGAAAGTACTGATGTTCTTGATCAAGAAAAACCTCAGGATGTATTAAAATTTTGGCTAACAAATAGTTATCAATTATCTCTACTCGTTCAATTAGCCAAACAATTTTTGTCTGCTCCTGCAACATCTGTTCCGAGTGAAAGTTGTTTTAGTATTGCTAGCTATTTACATCGAAAACAACGTGCACGGTTAACTCCAACAAATCTCAGCTACTCTATGTTTCTCAAAGACAAGTTTGGTGGTTACAATCAACATGCATAGATTTAAGCACAATAATTTACATTCTTTTATCTCCTTTCATGTTTTCTTGGTAGTTTCATTTAGCTAGTTGGCTTAGGTTAATAAAGCTGCAAAACAATAACAGTACAGAACTGAAGTTACTGTTTATAACTTGAAAAGTAGTGTTTAATTATTTTTGTTTGAAAATTTTCTTCTCAGATGATGAAGAAATTCAATTTTTAGAATAGCATAAAGCTTCTTTTTCTCTCACATAGAGCTGGTCTGAACACGTATGTTTTATTGTTATATATAACGGTATCTTTTTCTTATGTTACGTTATGTTACCGATACTTAACGGTTATTTGTATGTTCAATTAGAAATATTTCAATAAATAAGTACGAAATTGAAAATTTAGTGTCGTTAGTAAAAGGCCACAGGACTAAGTCTTCACAAAATTGTAGCGTCTGTAGAATGTGTTTGCGAAGACTTGACTTTTTATAACATCGGTGATACGGATAATCGATAACGGTAAATAACATTTTTACCGAACTTTACCGCACTCAAATTTTGACATTTTTTACGGGTTTAAAATTACCGTGGTAAAACTCTGATATTGCTACCGAAACGTCGGTAACGGTAAAAACGTACTACCGTTACCGTTCATCTCTAATCGGTGAGGCTAAAACATCCAATGTATCGTGAAACCCAATATTACCCACTATTATTGTACAATATTATTGGTCCCAATAGATTGGGTGACCAATATTATTGGTCCCAATAGATTGGGTGACCAATATTATTGG